TCCGCCGGGTCGCAGCCCAGGGTCTGCAGCTGCTCCGGCGTGGGGACCAGGAAGCCGTCCTCCAGCAGGACGTCCACCAGCAGCTCGCCGGACTCCAGGGAGAACTGCTTGATCTCGCCCAGCAGCCAGCTCATGTCCGCCAGCGGGGGCGGCCACTCCCCGCCCTCGGGAAGCCCCTCAAAGCTCTGGAACTGCTCCTTTTCGTAGGATATGAGGAGCTCGCGCGCGGCCTTGTAGGCCTCCATCTCCTTCTGTCGGGCCAGGAGCTCGTCCTCGTGGTGCCTCATATCCGCCTCCTCGTCCTCGGACCCGGACTCCCAGTCCTCCTCGGCCCCCCCGCCCAGCTGCCTGGACCAGTACTGCTGCTGGAGCCAGTCCAGGACCACCTTGCAGCCCTTCCGGCACCACTTCAGGGTGGGCAGCTTCCGGTGGGTGATGTCGTGCCGCAGGTCCACCACCCACTCGGGGATGTTCAGGTTCCCGGCCAGCCGCCTCAGGGGCCGGGCCATCCTGCCCTGCCGCTTCTCCGTGATCAGGTTCACGAACCGGACCAGGGCGGCCCCGTACAGCAGGACCAGGTCGTCCCCAACCAGCGTCCCGGACCGGTCCAGGACCTGGCACCGAACCAGGTCCGCCGTGCAGTCCACGGCCACCGGCGTGCTGCTGGCGAACCGGCCCCTCCAGGCCGAGATCCGGTGCACGGCGTACCTCTGGAGGGACACGTCCTTTGAGTAGAGATACTCCAGAACCTGGTCCCACTCAGCTTTGTTGACCCACGCCACCACATGGCGTTTTTTCTCCGAGCTCTTTTTCTTCATCTTTACGGCGGACGTGCACAAAAAAGTCCTTTTACCTTGAGAAAGTCTCGTCTCCTGGCAGAGGGTCTCTAACAATCTAACTAATTCGGTATTTGTGGCAACATTTTAAGGCGAAAAGGCATTTTTCTTTTTATATTTAGAGCTACCGATCGTGGCCCATTCCGGAAATGACGTATTTCAGAGCTTCTTCTTCGGGTTTGTTTGACAATGCCAAACCGGAAACAGAATCATCGATACACTGGCACCACCTTCCGGTTTGGCGTAAGCTAACAGGTCTTCTTCTTCTTTGATTTTTTACGGCAGCTCACATCCATTATTGTTGTATTACTGCCATCTATTGTCTAAACCTCAAATTCTCATAATGATCCCAGTATTTTTTTAAAAACGAAAGATCTTCTTTTTTCCCTCAATATCAGTTAACTGATCAACCACATTCTTAAATTTCAATTCCCTATTACAACCTAATTCAGTTTTTAATATTCTTCTTTGATCTACATATTTCCTACAACTAATAAAAACATGTTCCATTGTTTCTACATCATCACACCAACTACATAAACCAGTAAGATGTTTCCTAAGCTAACAGGTGGTCATTTTACTCTCAAATGTAGCGTCTAAATGTTTAAATATTTGTGCTTCCAGCTCCAAATTCATTAGATATTCCGGGGGGGAAACAAATCTGCAAATATTTTCCATGAAATCCATACGTCTCTATCCCTGGAAAGAAAATGTGCGATATATTATAGACGAAAAATAAGATTTTACAACTAGATTGATTAAATAAGTATTATAAATAAAGTGGCTTTGAACCAATAGAATCTATACTTCGTCCCTAGTATTTTACAATACATAGCTCATACCCTCATTTATTATCGATTGCCACTTCTTTTTTTGTATATTAACACAAGGGTGCAGTACTCCTCCTGGCCACAGCGGCGCTCCTGTGAATAACCACCGAAGAAGAAGCGGCTTGTTTGGAAAATGGCGGGTCCTTTGACAGAGAAACAGCTCCCTCGTCATGTTTATGAGTTACTTCAGGTGAGAAAGAACGAAGAATTGTTAAATGTTGTCCAATCATTTAAAATCTTAGCAACTTAATTAGATTTATTGTTTTGAAAAGTTGTTTTTGTTTATTTGGTTAGGTTAGCATCTCGAAACATTCCTGAAGTTAAATCTCAGCGTGCATCTTTTCATGATAAATACATTTTACAAGTGATATAAGAATATGTATTTAAGAAGTAGCTGGTGGATCGTTTATTGTTGTTTTAATACGCTCTCGTTCTGTGTTGAAATGTTTCCAGTAAACTGTACAAAGTCAACAGCTTTTTAAAGTCTTCGTCACCTGCGCATGTTTCTTCATGTTCTTAAACTTTATTATGACAGTTTTTGCTCTCTAAATAGATATACATTGTTTGAATTTAAACAAATCTGCAAAACATGGACTATAATAGAACAGATGACTCACATTCTGATATTCCTGATACTTTAGGAAAGAATCCAAGTCTTTTTTAAGTGAAAACCTACGCTTTGTGTTTCAGGTTTTGTCCTGTCCGATGGTACAGGATTTGTACCTGAAGGAAACCGACAGCATGCTGCAGGTCCTCTGCTCTCCCTCCGAGCTCCGCACCGACATCCTGGCCTGGATCTGCAGCAGGTAGACCTACACACGTCCTGCGTCTATGAAAGATGATCCGAAAACAGACAGAAACTAACTCTACTGACATATTTCAATGCTACAGAATCAGCCCGAGCTTTGAGGCAATGTTGCCGAAGTTAGAAGATCCAGACGTTTTGACCAAAGGTACAAAGTGTTGTTCATAGTTTTCTACCAAAATTCCTGTCTCCTCCGGGTTAATGATTGTATCCATCAATGATTGTATATATTTTAGTCACTCAAATCTCTGCGCTGTGTTGCTTCCTTGTATATTTGTTTGTTTTTGCTGTACTTTATGCACCTTTTCCTCCTTTTGAACTCTAACCGATATGTGACCAGTGAATTTCTCCACTGTGAGTTAAATAAAGCTCTTATCTTATCTTAAAATAAGCCTGTTTTATGTCTATGTTCCAACAGAAATGGCTGCTCTTGGGCACGAGCTGACGCTTTGCAAAGCAGACGACCTGGGCCTGATTAGGGTGAGCAGCCCAGTAAAACTCTCCCACATGCCTTCAATAAACTGTTGTCCCTATTAACGAGTGGCGTGCTTTTCTTTTCTTTAAGGGCGACGCGTCTCCGCAGAGGCAGCTGGGGTTCCTGCAGCAGCTGCTGACTTTAGTCCCACACAAACGGCACACGAACGAGGGAGAGCTGCTGCTCAGCGAGCTGTTTGCTGCCGACAGCCTGCCTCATCTCTCACAAATGCTCAGACCCTCGCTGGACCCCTGGCCGGCCCAGATAAAGTACGTCTGCCAGCTTCCTGTCTGACGATGGGAATTACCCTTTTTCTTTTTCTTTTCTTATTTTTTTTACCTTGTCCTGTTCAGCATTATACAGTGGGGGAAATAAGTATTTGACCCCTTGCTGATTTTGCAGGTTTGCCCACTTAAGCATAAGAATGCTTATTTTTCCTCATCAGATGCTTATCAATTTTTATAAATTCATATGATGTGATTTTCTGGAATTTTCTTTGGGATTCTGTCTTTCACTGTTAGAATGTACATATGATTAAAGTTATAGATCGTTGCATTCTTTGTAAGTGGGCAAACCTTCAAAATCAGCAAGGGATCAAATACTTATTTCCCCCACTGTAGTACCGTGCAATGCTGAACAAAATTGCTTTGCCAAGGGAGGCTTTGTTAGTGAGAAGCCCCCCTTTTTTACCCAAAGCTGCTTTATTTATTCGTTTTTGCTACCAAAATTACAAGTGTGTCCAATAATGCCGAACCTGACAGGGGGGAGAGAAGAGTAGTGGGAAGGAGAGAGATCCTTTACAAAGAGAGAGTAGGGGAAGAAGAAAAAAAAAAAAGAAGAAAGAAAGAAAGAAAGACAACAACAGGGGGGCTTTTTAACTGATGGTGAGGAAGAATAAACTGACCCTGAAAAAAAAGTTTAAAAAAAATAAATTAAACCGAAATTTTTTTGACTTTACTCTTCATTTAATGTCTGGTTCTTTAGCTTTTCCAAACATTTCACATGTTTTTTCTCTCTTTGTCCCTGCTGTGAGTTCAGTGTGTCTGAAGGAAAATCTGATGAATGTCATTATTTTATTAGCCTGAAGGGCCCAACACTTCTCTGTATTCTACATCTGAAAGGGCTGAGGTGTATCTGATTGTTCGCATGTTTCTACTTGTATGTACTGTATCTAATGTTTGTACTTTTGTCTTTTCTCTCATCTCACAGGCTTTTATGCAAAGGCACCAGGACGTCTCCGAGGCCAGAAGAGGAGGCTGACAGCCTCGCTTCCCTTTTAGAGTCGACTCAGTCTGAGCTGGAGCTGCTGAAGTCAAAGGTGCTGCTCACTATCAGGGCTCTTCGGGGTTTAAAGATATGATGCATAAAAAGTCTGTCAAAGCCAATCAGAACGGGGCATTAAGTCCCATAAACGGGTTTATTTACAGTGGGGGAAATAAGTATTTGACCCCTTGCTGATTTTGCAGGTTTTCCCACTTACAAAGAATGCTTATTTTTCCTCATCAGATGCTTATCAATTTTTATAAATTCATATGATGTGATTTTCTGGAATTTTCTTTGGGATTCTGTCTTTCACTGTTAGAATGTACATATGATTAAAGTTATAGATCGTTGCATTCTTTGTAAGTGGGCAAACCTGCAAAATCAGCAAGGGGTCAAATACTTATTTCCCCCACTGTATATGCAGATCAGCCTCCTGGAACTCCAAAACTGAGATCCCTTTGAGACTTTACTGTGTCTTCAAATGAACATAAGAGGTCTTTATTTAAAGGATGTTTGAAACAGGAAGCCCCTTTTACCCAGTGGAGCTGGGTGGTGATTAGGGTTGTCAAAGGTATCGATACTCCAAAAAGTATCGATACTAAAACGTCGTATCTGGATACGATATTCATTTTCAAAAGTATCGATACCCCCCCCCCCCTTCTATCTGATTTATTTATTTATTTATTTATTTATTTATTTACGTTGTTTATGGTCATTAACGTGACGTTAGCCTTGAATTGCTAGCTGCGGCTAACGGCTAATAATAACACGCCATTTTTATTAGGTCACCCATAGGAAGATCCCAGGCAAGAAAATCCTAATTGCTTCATGGCAATATAGACGTTAATTTAAAAATAGTGAAATGAATCTTACAAACACTGAATTAAACTCTATCCATAATATTATGTTAAAATAGTGGATGTTAAATAGGTTTGTACAATAAGTCTAAACAAGTTTAACCAAAAAATATTTATTTTTCACAATTATGAAGGCTGTAGGGTTAGGTTTAGGGTTAGAGTTAGACTCAGGGTTAGGGTTAGGGTTAGGGTTAGGGTTAGGGTCATTAATGTGGGCCACCATAACATCAGTAACAGGTCAGTTTGAAACCAAAGACACTAACCTGTCAAAATTCTGTTAAAAATTAGGGTCTTTATTTTGATTGATGTTGATTGATTGTTGTGACTGAACTGATATTGGGCTTCATCCTTATGGGATTCTGACCAAAGTTTGTCACAGACATTACATTAGGACACCAGGGGACTAGGTTAACTTGTTGAAATAGGGTATAATATGTCTCCTTTGAATTTTGGGGTCTTTGTTTTTATCCTTGTGGTATCGAGTATCGAATATTTTCATGAGTATCCTCCTGAGACCCTGCGTCCTCATAAGAGGACATAGCATTTTTGCCTCTCTTTACCATGATACTTCTTTTTTCTTTCAACTTTGACCTCTTGGCCTCATAGCAGACGCTATCAGACACTCTAAAGTAAAATGGGTGCTATACATTTTCAACCAATAATGTTCTTATTGCGTAATTAAAAAATTGTTAATAAGTCATTTGGACTGTCAGAACAAAATTCCAATAACATTTAATTAGATACATAAACTAGCATTTTAAATATAAAGATAAACCCACTGAGCCTATACGAAGCACAACTACCTGTACCATGACAAATTTTAGTTATTAAACTTAGTAGGTTGTACTAATCCCATATATCTTTAAAAAAGCAAAAATGCACACCAATTAAAATTTGGGGTCTCAGGAGGGTATCAGTATCCAGTTGAACATTTTAGTATCATGAAAACCCCGGTGTTGATCCATGCCGTGTGAATGTTTCTCCCCTCAGTGTGACTTTCTGGGCGTTGAGGACAGAAGCCCCGCCCCCTTCTCCCCCGGCTCCCTGCGCCTGGCGGCCGGCGACCTGCAGCAGCTAATGAAAACCTTCTGCCGGGTGTTCCAGAGCGAGCTGCGGCCGTTCTGCAGCCGCCCGCCGCCGCCGCTCAGCCCCGCCGCCGCCATCTTCCACAGGCTCCACGGGTCCCTGCTGGCCTGCACCACGGTAGGATCCCAGGCCTTTGGTTCTGGTTCTGGTTCTGGGGATGGGACCCAACCGGACTGGGGCCGGACCCAGCCATGTCATACCTCGTTGCGTAGGTCTTTTTCTCAGCTTTCAGCCAATGTGACCCCCGACCTGCTCAAACCAATTGCATTCAGTCGGGAACCCCAGAACTCAGCCGGGTCCCTCCATCACCTCAGGCCCTCTCACAGGCGCGAGCCCACATTACAGAGAGCCCAAATATGGATTGGCCGACCTGTTCCCGGACGGGCAGCGGGTGGCCCCCCTCCAAAATTTCTTCAGAAATTTTCTAGTTAAACTAGTTCCCTGTAGGGATGGGACGGTTTCTGAAAACCGTCCGAACCGTTGGGTTCTGTCTCGGTTGGGTTCGCGTGTGTTGCGTTCGGTTCCTGCTGCTGCTTTTTCTCAGAGGGAAGCGTTTACACTCCAGAGCAGAAGGGGGCGCTACTGCGCCCAAAGCCAACCACCAGTAGGAAACCAGAAGAAGAAGAAGAAGCAGCGTAGCCCATAAAAATCAGACCCAGCAGCAGTTTCTAGCTCTGCTGTATGGGACACTTTGCATTTAGAGGGAAGCACATGTTGGAATTAGCACTGTTTCCTCTCTGGCAGAATCTCACCTACTTTAACCTCAGACTGTCACAATAATGGATCAAATGTCAGACTGCTTTTTTCTTTCAGTTTTAACCCGACTATACAAGACATAATAGATTTTCCTAACAATCAACATAAACCGAACCAAACCCAAAACCGTGACCACGAAACCGTGAAGCGAACCGAACCGGGGATTTTGTGAACCGTCCCACCCCTACTGAGGTGTGTTTATTCCCGGGTTTTCGTTCAATCATTACCGGCTGTTTTGGTTTGTACAGCATCACAAAGGATAAACTAACAGTTGGGATGTCCCCATCCAACTTTTTGTACTTTCGATACCGACACAAGCCTATCAGAGCATGTGTTAAAGTCTAAAGTTATTTATCTACTTACTTAGTTGTCAGACTCATGTTGAACAGGGATTTACTCTGATGACAACTTAATGGTTAGGACACAGACCTGTGGGTTAGGAGATGCTAATGCTAATGCTAATGCTCTGATAACAACTTAATGGTTAGGACACAGACCTGTGGGTTAGCAGATGCTAATGCTAATGCTAATGCTCTGATAACAACTTAATGGTTAGGACACAGACCTGTGGGTTACAGATGCTAATGCTAATGTGGGATCTGGATGTTACAATGTTGGTTAAAATCCTCCATCAGAATACTCTGTAATTCCTAGAATTGGTTCCAAAAACCTACGATAACTCCTTAATAAATACTGCAGATAATTACACATAGCAATAAAACAAATGACTTCTAGAAGAGAGATGGAAAAAGAAATAGATTAGAAAGAAATAATCAATAAAAAGTGTTGTTATTGGCCCTTTCCAGCTTTTTGTACTTCCAATCCGATCCCGGCCTATCAGAGCCTGTATTAAAGTTTAAAGTTATTCATCTACTTACTTAGTTGTCAGACTCATGTCGAACAGGGATTTACTCTGATAACAACTTAATGGTTAGGACACAGACCTGTGGGTTAGGAGATGCTAATGAGCAACAAGGCTGTGAAACAACAACAATGGAGGAGTGAATCTTGCAGAAGTCAAAGTGGCCGATCGGCTCAGACCTGAGCTGGACTGGGTTCTTTTGTTTTTCTCCTCAGGAGCTGGAAATGCTGAAGGAACTGTCCGAAACCTCGTCATCCGTGAGTCTGGAGGCCGGGCAGCTGCAGACAGAACCGCGATACTGGAGCCGCGGGGAGAAGCAAACGCTGCGTACGGACATTTAAACTTTATTCTCTTCAATTTTATTTCTGTTGCTCCACATCACAAGCTTTCCAAACAGAGACCAGCTCAGACTCTGAGTTATTTACAGAAGAACAACAGTTCCCACCTAAAGCAGCACTAGGAGACACAGGGAGGAAACAACTGCCTTTGGGAGGAAGGAACCTGGAGCAGAACGAGAGGGGAGAAAGAGAGAGATCGAACAGAGGGAGAGAGAGAGAACGAACGGAGGGAGAGAGAGAACGAACGGAGGGAGAGAGAGA